AAATGTTTCATGTTCTAATTCTGTTGTTCATGATAGTGTAACTGATGAATGTTCCCTTGTAAATATCATGTCAGCTATTGATAATATAAATACAGTTGAGGTTGTTTGGCATTACAGAGCTGGACATATTCCTTTTTCTAAACTAAAAACTATATCTGCTATAAATGGTAAATTTCCTCTTAAACAATCCTTTAGTTGTCTTATCTGCCCTTTAGCCAGGCATATGATGCCCTTTCCAGAAAGTAGCATACAATCCACTCATCCATTCCACTTATTTCACATAGATACTTGGGGACCTTATCCCACACCCACTCATAATAATTCCAAGTGCTTCTTGACCATTATTGATGATTCTTCTAGGGCCACTTAGACCTATCTTATGGGAGCCAAAAGTAATGCTTTTGACTTACTCAAGGCTTTCATTACCATGGTTGAAACACAATTCCAAACTAAAGTCCAGGTTGTCGGAAGTGATGATGCCTTAGGATTAGGTTCTAGTGCTTCTAGTTCTCATTTTTCCTCCGAGAAAGGCATCCAACATAAAACTTCCTGCCCACACACTCCCCAACAAAATGGAGTATTGGAAAGGAAGCACAAACATTTGCTTAAAACTGCCAGAGCTCTATTATTTCAATCCCATCTTCCCATCAGATTCTGGGGAGACTGCCTTCTCACTGCAACCTACTTGATCAATCGGTTTCCTTATCCTCTCCTTAATCACAAAAGTCCCTATGAATTTTTATATGGATCTGATCCTTCTTACTATCATCTTAAAGCCTTTGGATGTTTGTGTTAATCTACTATACCTAAGTTGCACAAGGAAACATTCTCCCCCGGATCCATTTCATATGTGTTTGTGAGTTATCCCTTTGTTAAGAAAGGCTATATACTCTATAGTCTGACTTCCAGAACCTGCTTCATTTCTAGGGATGTCATTTCCCTAGAACATATTTTTCCATTCTTTAAAACTTTCAATCAGTCTTCTCACATTCTTCTTTCTCCTCTTTCTTCCTATTTTGATACTAATCACTTTGTATCTATTTATCCCCCATCTCCTTCTTCCCCTGTTTTTTCTTTAGCTGCTGATCCTCCTTCTCCTGGCTTGCATCCTTCTCCTACTTCTTCTCTAACTCCTGCTTCACCTCCTGTTTCTTCTTCTCCTTTGTCTATTTTGAGAAGATCCTCTGGACCACATAACCCTCCTAGTTATCTCAACAGCTAAGTTTGTCCGTGTTTATCCTCTAGTTCTGTTCTTGTTTCTTGTGATGGTAAGCTGCATGTCCTAGAGCCTCATTCATACTCTCAGGCAGTCACCATCCCTGAGTGCAAAGATGCCATGAGCAAGGAATTTGAGGCTTTGGAAGCTAATGGGACTTGGGAAATTGTTGAGCTTTCACAAGGAAAGAAGCCTATTGGGTGTAAATGAGTCTATAAAGTAAAATATAGGGCTGATGGATGTGTAGAAAGGTACAAAGCTAGGTTAGTGGTCAGGGGTGATATTCAAGTAAAAAGCATTGACTTTCATGAAACATTCCCCCCTGTTGTCAAGATGTCCACTATTAAGACCTTAATTGTTGTGGCCATCAAGCAACAATGGTCTCTTTTCTAACTTGATGTCAATAATGCTTTCTTACATGGTGATCTTGATGAAGAGGTTTTCATGAAGCTTCCCCTTGGACTGTCTGTTCCTGCCTCCACCTTTTCTTTTGCACCTATGGTTGCAAGCTCCAGAAATTCCTTTATGGGTTGAGACAAGCTTCCAAACAATGGTATGCTAAGTTGTCTCAAGCTCTTTCCTCTAGAGGATACATATATTCTCTCAACGATTACTCTGTCTTCAGAAAGGGTTCTAGGGCTTCTATGGTTATATTGGATGTTTATATAGAGGACATTCTCCTAACTAGGACTGACTTGATTGAAATTTCTGCCCTGAAGAGTTTTCTCCACGATCAGTTTAAAATTAAGGATTTGGGACTGCTTAACTACTTCCTTGGTATTGAAGTTCTCTATACTCCTGGGGTTTTGTTACATCAAAAGAAGTTTACTCGTGACCTTTTAGAAGAGTTTCACTCTCTTGATTGTTCTTCAGTTACTTGCCCCTCTTGAATTGAATGTCAAGTTGAAAGCAAAGGAAGGAGAACTTTTGCCTAAACTTGAGGAGTATAGATGCCTCATAGGCAAGATGAATTTTTGACCCATATCAGGCCTGACCTCAGCTTTGCAGTCCAACATTTAAGTTAGTTCATGCAACAGCCTTGCCTGCCACACATGAAGGCTGCAGTTTACCTTCTTAGATATCTTAAGGGTCTTCTGATTCTGGGATTTTCTACAATAATGCTCTTGATCTGTCTCTGAAGGTGTTTTGTGATAGTGGTTGTGCCTCTTGCCCAAGTAGTAGGTCAGTCACTGGTTTCTGCATCTTCCTTGGTGGTAGTTTGGTGGGCCAGAAGTCCAAGAAACAACATGTGGTTTCCTTTCCTCAACAGAAGATGAGTACAAATCTATGAGCAAGGATGTGGCTGAAATCACTTGGCTGTCCAGGTTATTGTCTGATTTTAATGTGACTCGTCTCTCACCTGTGTCTGTGTTTGTGACAGCCAAGTTGCGCTACATATTGTTAAGAATCCTGTCTTTCATGAGAGGACAAAGCACATAGGCTTTGATTGTCATTTTGTGCATGCCAAACTTGGAGATGGGCTGGTCTCCCTTGTCCACACTTCCACTGCTTCTTAGACTGCTGATGTTCTCACCAAGGTGCTCCCTGGTCCTACNGGCGGGGGAGGGGGGACTGTTAGAATAGGTCAATTAGATGTTGGCTAATATTTGGGCCCAACTTTAATTTACTTTTGTATTTATATGTTTAGCCCAATTGTCCAGATAGCCCGTTTGTAATAGTTAGTAGTCCATTATATTTTTTGTATTTTTCTGGGTCATTATAAATAGTAAAGCTCACCTTTGTAATAACAACTCTCTGATTTATTTTACTCAATACACAGAAGACACAAAGTCTCGAAGCTTCTGACTCTCTAAACATGGTGTAAACCCTAGAATCTTCCCTTCTTCGTTTACCTCGTTTCTTCACGTTTACATCTTTCCTTAAAAGAAATAAGATAAATAAAACTTTTCGGTTGAAAACTTGAAAACGATTTCTATTTTAAATGTTAAAGCTTCTAAATTTTGAAATATTAAAAGTTGTCCACAAGACACACTTATGCCAACAAGAGATTTTTATGTGGTCATTTCGAGAATGCCAAAAAAATTAACACTTGAATCTTGATGTAGAGTTGGAAGAGTGCACATTATATTGGTTTTTGTATTAACACCTCCAATAACGTCTAATTCACGAGAACACGGAAATATATATAGTTAGCATTATTAATGCAATCACATATATACAGATCTTCCTATGTATTTTCTTTTTTAATTGAAGGGGTGGATTTTGATAATAATGGGAAAATCATAAGTACCCCTAAACTAAGGCCGTAGTTTCAACTATACACCTTAATTTTGCGGGGGTCCTATTACCCCCTTAAACTATTTAATAGTAACATTATTAATCTCCTAAATGCTGAGGTGGCATAGAGAGTGTGTTCCACTCTCTTTGAGAGAGTGAGGAGCAAAAAAGTGGGGAAAAATTTACTTTTGTAATTTTCTGTTACAATAAAAAAATATCTCTCTTTATTTTCTTTTCTTCTTTCCCGGCGAAGACCATGAATGCCGATGACCTTCTCCAGGCAACTATTTTTCCTTTCTTCTATTTTCCATCTAATCTTATTTCTCGCAGGACACGATAACTACCACCTTCACCTTCCCCTACCTTCTTTTTATTTTTCACTCATTTGATATTCACCTAGGCACCACTACCTCAGCATCATCATCATTACCCAAATCGAGATCTTATCTCTCCAGCTTCCTACTGGAACATAGAAGTTATCGTAAAAATAAAATCAAAAGCGAAACTCACAATCGATAACAATAAATTTCCGACTGGTAAAAATGGAGTTCCTAAAATTCCAATATGAAACAAGCAACATACCACATATATAGACTCTAATCAAAACAAGATTGGATCAAAGAATGATCTTTATGAACAGTTGAATATTTTGAACATGAAGAAAGAATGAAAAATAAAAATAAAAAATGTAATAGGATAAAAAGAAAGTGAAAAAAAAGGAAAAGAAAGAGAAAAAAATTCAAAAATTACAAAATAGACACGTGGCAGCTAGGGGTGTTCGCCGGTCGGTACAGTATGGTATTTAGACATTTCGGTTCGGTATTTTCGGTATTCGGTTTTGTAAAATGCTATACCAATACTGTACCTAATTAAATTCGCTATGGTTCGGTTTTTCTCCTTTTGGTTTCAGTTTATTCGGTTCGGCAAATTCGGTTTATTCGGAGTGAATACTAACTAGTACATAGAGTCGTCGACGGTAATATTCTTAATTAAAGCACTCAAAAGTACAAAACTAAAATGTTTGTTGACAAAAGTTTTGTCCATTACCAACAAATACCAACCTAGAGAGAGAAAATAATTAGAGAATTAATTGATGAACTTAGAGAATAAAGGAAAGAAATTTTTTAGATTTCTTATATTTATGTTATAATTAATAAAATGTGTATTGTGTAATACAATATATATTTCGGTACGGTATCAATATTTCGGTATTTCATTTTAAAATAACAAATACAATATCTAATAGCCATTCTTTTTTAAAACTTAAACCAAATACCATACTGAATACCAAAATATCGAATATCGAATACCAAAATTTTCGGTTTCGGTACGGTAATTCGGTATTTATCAAATTATGCACAGTCCTAGTGGCAGCGCGTGTATTCACTGCCTGCCAAAAATTTGGTTATCAGTTTCAGGGTTATTTATTCTATTTTAAAAAAGCTCGGGGGGTGATAGGACCTCTGCAAAGGTAAGGTGTATAGTTTGGACTTTGGTCTTAGTTCAAGGGGATACTTATGCATTTTCACGATAATAATCAAAGAAATTAAAATCAAAAGTACGCAAAAAGTTATTTTCTTGTAATTGTACACAAGCTTACATATTTCTTGAAATAACTTGAAATTTGTTTCATGTGGCATGAAACACAACTTCATTAGCATTTTCATTCGTAAAGGTTGGGAGCCAAGCGAGGAGCAAGAAGAATTTCGAGAGGAGAAGCTTTAAGGATTGTCAATCCAAAGCTCTCACTCATATCAATTGGTTCATCTGAAGGCCTCTTTATTTCAAACCCCTGCAAAAGTACAGCTAATACATATTGCACAACCTGAAGTCCCATAGAAATTCCAGGGCACATTCTTCTTCCGCTACCAAATGGAATCAACTCAAAGTGATTTCCTCTAACATCGACATCCTTATGTGTCGTCAAGAACCTCTCTGGCTTAAACTCCTCAGGATTTGGCCATAAATCTGGATCGTAATGAATCTTCCATATGTTCACTAATAAGCGAGTTCCTTTTGGTATATCGTAACCACTAATATCACAATCTTCTATACACTCGTGGGGTAGTAAGAGTGGTGCAGCTGGATATAAACGTAATGCTTCTTTAACAATAGCTTGAAGATAAACCAAGTTCTTGATATCTGACTCTTGAACCCATCTGTGCTTCCCAACATGAGCATCTAATTCATCTTGAGCCTTTTTCAGTATTTGGTAGTTATTTAGGATTAAAGATAAAGTCCATGTTAGCGTTACGATCGTGGTGTCTGTTCCTGCTGATTGCAGAGCCTACCAAAGCCAAACCCAAAAATTTCAGCAATCAGCTCCACATTCCACAATAGTAAGATTAATAATTAAAAACATCTTATTTATATGCACGGACATTTTAAACAAGTTTACAATTAGTTTAACTATGTCATATTATAAGATACCAATCTAACGGTTACTTACTAAGCAAATCTTATTGAAACTTTTAAGTAGAGGAACAGAAATAGTTTAGAGCAAAAGAAACGTGTTTCGATCATGGTGTCAGTGCCCAGGGGTGAAGCTACACTCTAGTAAAGGTGGTCAATTGAGTATATAAGTAAAATATTAGGTTTTCGAAGTATATAATATATATTGAACAACCTTTGTCGGAGATTTGTTTTACTTTTTTCATGTTTGAACACCCTTGACGTAATTTCTGTCTTCGCCACTATTGGTACCTGCTGATTGCTGAGCCAACCACACCAAACACAACAGTATGAGGACAACCAGGAAAAACGTATAGATGGACATCTATTTATAGTCAGAACAATAAATAGCAGAATAATGAATTAGAGAATTATCATATTAATGATCTGTCAAAAGATTTAAATTATTATATGTTGCATGCAATGTTGTTCGGACACTTCAAATATGTATGTCCTCCAAAAGCAGTATAGTTTTGAAGGATTCAATATTGGTGCAGCAGCATTTTAGAGAGTACATATATTATACGCTGTAGCTGGTAATATTGAACTGATTGTTGCAGATAGTTCTGGATTACTTTCTTAATCATTTTAGGGTTTTTTCACTTTTAGCCCGCGCCAGAAACTATTTACATTCAGTAGCCGAAAAAGTATAAAATTTGTATAAATTTTTTATATAGCATATGGAAGGTATATATATACAAAAAAATATACATTTTTTTGCCTATTATTTTGAAAGCGGCTATACAATGTCACGTTACCATCATTTTATCTTTCACATAATCGGTTTTTAAGTGGAAAAACAGAACAATTTAGGACTAAGTTAGCTGTAATTTGTAGGAGATAACGAAGAACGTACCAAACATGTAGCTTTGATAATGGTATCAGCATCAAAACCAGGAAGATCTCTGTCTTCACAAATGGACAACATAACATCCATTAAATCTTCTTCATCTCCATATTTTATTCCTCTTAATTCCCTCTGTCTTCTGTGCTCTGCTAACCATTCTTCAACAAGACTGTCCATTTCATTAGCAGTCTCTTTCATGGCTTTCTCATGGCCTCCTATATCAAGCCATCTTAAATATGGTAAAAAATCAGCCACAGCTGATACTCCCATCAATTCAAAAAATCTTCTTATTGCTTTGTGAGCTCTACCTCTTTCTTCTTCTTCCTTACCTATAAGAGGCGGATCGGGAATTTAATATCTATAGGCAGTAGCGAAACCACAAATTTCATGTGTCAAAATATAAAATAGTAAATACACAAAGATGCTAAGTGGATTCAACATATATACATAAAAGTAAATGTTTAGCCAAGCTATACCATATAATTTTCCGACAATGAGGCGTAAATTTGACATAGCCTATGGTGACTCTGCCACTGTCTCTGGGTTCAAAGTTCTGAAGTCTTTAAAACTATATATGGATTCAAGACATGACATGCAGAGGTGGAGCTAAAATTCGAACGACAGATAATTTGAGATCGAGGGAGTAACTATACATCAAATTTATCACTACCCAAACTAGGAATTAAGCAAATACCTGTGTATCGTACTCCGAATAACATCTTCACCATGGTGTTCATAATTAAGTTCCCAAACCATTCCTTCATCTCTATTTTTACAGCAACATTTAAACTACTGCTCTTGCTCTTCAACCAGTATTCATATATCTCTTTGATAGCTGATTTTACTTCTAATTCTCTAATGTGACTAGAAATCTCAACTTGCCTAGTGGAAAGAAACTCAATTGTGGCTATCTTCCTAATCTCTCTCCAGTACGGCCCATAAGGACCAAGCCCAAACATGGCATAATTGTAGCCTATAATCTCTGAAGCTATGGATTTAGGCCGATTGGCAAAGGCCATATCGTTTGTGGTGAAACATTCTTTGGCTATTTTTGCATCACTAACCACTACAACTTGATTTACTCCAAGCTTTATTCGGAAAATGGGTCCATATTTTTCTGCCATATGGCCAAAAATTTTGTGAGGCATTTGAGTTCCATTGAGAAGGTGAAGATGGCCAATAATTGGCCATGCTCCGGCAGCTTTAGGTACTTTTCTGTTCTGCGTTTTAGCTGAGAAAAATTGTTTGAAAAGAAAGAAGGAAACAAGAAAGGAGGAAGCTAGTGTAATTGCAATGAAAAACAAATCCATGGCTATAATTAATTGGTTATGTAGTTGCTGTTCTGTAAATTCAGAAGTGGGAGAAAGTTTGTAATTGATAGATAACCAGTATACCAAGAATTGCAGTCTACAAGATTAAAATTTTTATATTCAATTAACAAAAAAGAAAGAAAATTGTATCACGGGAGTGATGGCGGCTGGTCAACAATTGTTAGTATAACAAAAAAAAACTAACAGATGTCAAAGAGTTTGACTTCGCGCAAAAGCTTTTAGCACGATGATGTCATTATTTGGAATTGAAAATTTACTTTATTTTTCAAGATTATAAATCCACTTTTTTATGAAGGGTTTGTATAGGCTCAAATTTGGCAACCACGACAACGGATAAGCAAGGTATGGGACGGGGGCCCCACAAAACAACGACTAAAAGTTGTTGTAATAGAGGACGACGACCGAAAGCAGGCAACAGAAATAAGACAGCAACGGTCGTTTAAGTTTAGGAAAAGACAGGAAAAATATGCCTTTTGGATATTCCTTGTGTTGTACTTTTTAGGGTTTTTTGAAAATAACCCTTATAAATAGGGGGAGATAGTGAACAAAAGGGGGATCTGCCTTTTATAAACTAAGAGATACATTGTAAAGTAAAAAGGGAGAGAAACAAAAGATTTCTCTTATTCGCTTTACTCAAGTACATGTTGTTTAACTTTCATCCATAGATTTGAAGATTCCACATTCATTTCAGCTGCATATTCCTTCACGCCATTAGAAAAAGAAGATACCCAATCACACAATCATTGGGTGACAGTTCCTTAATACTATAAGTATCATCATTTCTTGCATTCATTGCACATTTATAATATTATATTTCTCGTCTATCATAGTATATTGAATGTATTAATTGACGCTTTTATATTTCTCCTACTACACAAGAATCTCATTACATTTGGTCTAAAATTTATTAAGCTCAACTAGGATTCACCCCATTAATTTGTTATTTATTGGTTTAGTAATTATTTGCTCAAACAATTTGACGCCGTCTGTGGGGAGTTTTTAGTTGAAACTATAGTTCATTCTAGATTAAAAATTACACACACACGCATTTCTTCCACGTTTTGCACGAACTAATGATGGCAGGAAAAGGAGATACGAGACTGAAAAAGATAGCGGCCGTCACTACCAACATTTTGAACACCATCAACGAAGATGGTGGGGAAGATGACGAGAATACAATACCAAACGCTACCCCCAGGCAAAGTGTTTCACCTACCCCTCATGAAAGCGTGACAGTTGCACGAGAAAAGGGAGCCTCCACATCCACAGCTGAGGAAGCCCCACCAGCAGTGAAGAAACTATTAGAAGAGTGGCTGACAAGCGCCCTAAACAATATACTCGACAGACCTACCCAAAAGAAAAATGGCAACACCGCACAAGCAGACATCGTAATAGCCACTGGCGAGCAGCCCCTTCCTCAAACAGGTAACACTTGCCCTACTATGGATGCAGATAACGATGCGCTCGCAGCCATCCTAAAGAAAATGGAAGAAATAAAAAATTAAAACAAGGCACTCCGCGACCAGATGAAAGAACACCAAGAAAGGGTCGACAAGATCCCGGGTGCCCCAAAGCTACTACCAAAATGAGACGTTGATTGATTCATCGAACAACCGTATAGCGAGAAAGCGGCCCCATACGCCATACCCAAAACCTTCAAAATGCCACTGTACCTGAAGATATATGATGGTACCACAGATCCAGAAGATCATATCGTCCACTACGCTACAACGGTTAAGGGCAACGATCTTTCGAAGGAACAAGTACCATCGGTGCTACTCAAAAAGTTCGGCGAAACCTTAACATGATGAGCTCTAACCTGGCATTCACAGCTGCCGACGCAGTCAATAACAACATTCGATGAAATGGCCGACAAGTTTGTCACCGCCTATGTAGGGGCTAAGAAGGCAGAAGCCCGGGTGAATGACATATTTGCCGTTAGGAAATCACCTTGTGAGGGAATTAGAGACTTCCTCGCCCAGTTTAATAGGGTAAGAATGAGCTTACTGAACGTATTAGAAGGGATGGCAGTAGCAGCCTTCCAGAACGGGATAAGCAGGAACGGGTCGAGAGCAACCAGAAAACTGTTATGCAGGCTCAAGAAATATCCTCCCACCACCTGGGAAGAAATCCACAATGCCTATTGTGCCGAGGTAAGAGCCAACGAGAACGATCTTAATGGTCCAATCCAACGACTAACTTTGGTTCAAGCAGAATCGAGGAAGGATCGTCGTAGCGATGGTCGGAGAGATCAGTCAGGCCCCTGCCTCAGCCGAGAAAGGCACCAACCCCTACGTCAGAACAACCATCCTACCACGTCCTCGACACATAGAAGGGTTGTCCATGCCACACACAAGGACTTAGAGAAACGAAAGAGGTATGCCTTCACTCTTATCCGCTCATAATTTTTGTGTTTCCCTTTTAGAAATAGTGTACGCACAGGAGAAGCTCGGCACGAAGGTGAAATGGCCACAAAAGATAAAGTCAGACCCAAATAGTCAGAAGTCGAATGCCCTCTGCGAATTTCACTAAGAACGAGGTCATAAAATCGAGGATTGCATAGGTCCGCGATAAGAGGTAGTGAGAATGATAAACCAAGGGCACTTGAAGGAATTGATGAGCGATCGAGGGCGAGCCAACTTTGCCCGAGGACGCGAACCACCCCAGGGACCTCCAAAGTCACCCTTTCCGGCGCGCACTATCCAAATGATCATCAGTAGAGGTGATGAATCAATGATCAACAATGTGAAGTTCACTACTACGCATAAATTTAAACGGTCGATTACCCACGAACGGTACGACGATCTCAGAGACAGTATCATCTTCAATAAGTCAGCTACCAACAGTTTGACTTTCCCTCATTTTGATGCCCTTTTTATTACTTTACATATTTTAGACACTAATGTAAGAAGAATAATGGTAGATGACGGAAGTAGCGCGTGTATTATACACCCCCGAATCCTCGTACAAATGAGAATAGAAGACAAGATTATACCGCATTGAATAACACTGATAGGTTTTAACATTGCAGTTAAGCGAACCTCCGGGGAGATAACGTTACCCGTTCTAGCCGAGGGCATCACCTTGAAATTGACATTCCATGTCATGAACCAAGACACAACTTACAATGACATTATAGGGCGGCCCTGGATACACGCCATGAGGTCCATCCTATCGAGCCTCTACCAGGTAATCAAGTTCCCTACTCCATAAGGAATATTCAGTATCAGGGTGAATAGTGCACCGCCTAAGAATGCTACTTCATCACCCAAGATTGCACGCACACCCAACAAATGAAGGAAGCGAGCGCGGAGGCATAGCAATTACCGCAGTCGGGAACTGGGCTCAACCTAGAAACAGACGTCATCAAGGACCCTAACACCGTGGAATCAGCGAATCAACGGTATAAGATCTCAATCCCATCCAGCTAAGTGACAATGATAGCAACAAAAAGGCTTACATTGGGCATAAACTCTTCGAACCTGGTAAATTTCACAAGTTTTTAATTGACAATGCCGATCTGTTTGCTTTCTCCCATGCAGATATGCCGGGCATCTCAAAAGACATGGCCATACACAAGTTGAACATCGACCCCTTTTATTCGCCAATATGGAAAATAAGAAAGAAGTTAAACGCCGAAATCAACGAGGCCGTAAGTGATGAAGTGGAGAAGCTCCTTACAAACGGTTCCATCCGAGAATCAAAATACCCCTAATGGGTTGCCAACGTAGTCATGGTAAAAAAGAAAAACGGAAAATGGCGGATGTGCGTAGATTTCACGAACCTAAATAAGCCATGCCCAAAAGATTCCTTCCTATTATCGCACATCGACCAACTCATCGACGCCACAGCAGGACACGAGTTACTAAGCTTCTTGGATGCCTACTCAGGATACAACCAAATCCTCAGGGAGGAGGAAGACCAGGAAAAAACTACCTTCATCACTCATCAAGGAACGTACTGTTATAGGCTCATGCTATTTGGGTTGAAAAATATGGGGGCAACGTACCAGAGGTTGGTCACCAAGATGTTCAAAGATCAACTCGGCAAAACAATGAAAGTCTACATTGACGGCATGCTGGTTAAATCAAAGAGAAAATAAGACCACATCAATCATCTAAAGGAAGCCTTCGGTATATTAAGGTGGTATGGCATGACGCTAAACCCCCGAAAAATGCGCCTTCGGCGTAACCTCCGGAAAATTCCTCAGTTTCTTAGTATCACAAAGAGGCATCGAGGTCAACCCAGATCAAATAAAAGCCATTGAAGGGATACCTAAGGTGTTGACCAGCAAGAAATAGGTGCAAAAATTGACTGGCCGCATAGCCGCTCTGTTAAGATTCATCTCGCGGTCATCCGACATATGCCACAAATTCTTCAATGTGCTGAAAAACGACAACGGGCTCCAGTGGAATTCAGAATGCATCAACACCCTAAGAGAACTAAAGACGTATTTATCCTCATCCCCACTACTCGCTAAAGCAAAGCCCAGCGAGCGCCTCCTAGTGTATATAGCCGTCTCGAAAGTCGCGGTAAGTATTGTGCTGGTCCGCGAGAATTAATGTATGCAATCTCCGATTTATTATATTAGTAAAATACTAGTCGACACCGAAACGAGGTACCCCCACCTCGAGAAGTTGGCCTTAGCACTGGTCATAGCTTCACGAAAGCTTAGGCCCTATTTTCAGTGTCACCCCTATATCGGTGGTGAAGACCTTCCCTCTGCGGAGCATGCTAAATAAACCCAAAATGTTGGGAAAACTAGCCAAGTGGTCCATCAAACTAAGCGAGAACGATATAACATATCAGCCGCTAACAGCGATAAAATCACAGGTACTCGCCGACTTCATCCCTGATTTTAGTGCCAAAATAATGCCCGCAGTCGAGTAGGAAGCTCTTTGTACCTCCCCTGGGCAACCCAACCTCTAGGTTCTTTACAACGATGATGCATATAATGAATCAGGATCGGGACTAGGACTCGTACTCGAGGTCCCAATAGGGGAAGTTATTTGCCTGTCCATACGCTGCCCCGATATGACTAACAATGAGGACGAGTATGAGGCCGTAAT